ATGTTTGGAGGTATATTTGGAGAGGAGAGATACTGGAGGCCTCAGAGCAACTTGAGGCTCACATGAGGCCCCCTGAGTCAGACTCAGAGGGAAGAAGTGCCAGGAAGATCCAGCAGGATTATTCCCAGGCTAACTTCTCTGGGTAGCCGCCTGTCTGCTGGATAGGCCAAATGTGTGTAAATAACAGGATGTCTATGGCCCCTGGCCACCTTCTTCTAAGAAGACACAAGGCACTATCAGCCCCATGCTTGGTAGAGCAGAGCGAGAGAGGGTCCTTCACCCATTAGATCACAGTATAAGACATCATTTTTTAAGTGCCATCAAATAGCATAAAATTAAATAAATGTAAAGATCTAAGTACTGTGATCAGTCAGGCTTTATTAAGTCAATAGTGATCTATATGTAAATCCATTGATGCCTTTACAGTATTAGGTTTGACTCAGATGAAGCTGTATTACACTTCCAACATGGAAATGATATGAAACGGGAAAGAAAGAAAGGAAGGAAGGAAGGAAGGAAGGAAGGAAGGAAGGAAGGAAGGAAGATCCACAGGAAAAAAAAAAACTGCCAAAGAAGGGTCCATTTTACTTTTGTTCCCATTAGGTAATTTTTTCAATTCATGATACAGTCAGTCAGTTATTACAATATTGGTGAAATTGGAACAAAAGTCACTTCCAGCATGGGTCATTCTTCTGGTCATCATTCACTTTACCACCAAAGAGTACTCAAGGAACCTCCTTGAAAAAGTGAGAGCTGACTTGACCTCCATTTCAGAGATGGTTAAAATAAACGCTGCAGCAGTTTGAGAACTTGGTGAGGGTCACTCATCTAGAAAGCCATGCAACTAGTCTGTAACTCAGTCTGAGACTTTAGCTTATTGCAGTTGCACATATGTACACAAATTCTGAAATCCTTTTAATTTAGCAATCTGGCAGTAGAACACTAAACTGTGAAAGTGGAAAGACCACAGCAAAACTGAATGAGTGCCCCTGTCCTGCTCCTCAACATCCTAAGTCACCATTCACACATTTCCCTTCCAGACTTTCTGTGTTCAAAGAACAAGGTTCTAGACTGTGCTCCAAAACTAGCAATGTGATTTGGTACAATAGTGAACCAGCTGCCCCCAAATAGCTTTCTTCACAAATCTAGTGGGGATTTTTCTTTCAAAACCTTATGCCAATCTCTTCTCAACCTCCATAATTTCATCCAGGAGGATAAGATTCTGTGTGAATATCATTAATTCTGTTTTAGGTGGTAATTTGCTCTGAAGACTACACTCCACACCCAGCTTTCCAGAATCTAGATAGGACTGCCCAGGGAATCAGAAGCGAATACTCAGGTGCTGGTGATTTCTGAAACCCGACCCCCGCCATAATCTGTGTAAACTGGTGTGAAATGGACAGGTCAGAGAGTGGTATGGGGTTGTAGGCAGTGGTCCTCCGGGTTCAACAGACCAGGAGGCAGAACTTCTGGGCTCAATGTACTGTGGAACCTGGCTTTCTATCTCCTGGGTGGGCCAGGAGATCCACTGGAACCTGATTTCAAACACCACCGTCCCCCCACCCCCCAGCTCCACACCTGGAGCCAGTCGCCTAGAGCTTCTTCCCTGGGACCTCTGTGGAAACCGCTACTTTCCTCCCAACTACTTCCTGGCTTGGTTGTTGCTCCATGTTACTAAGGAAACGTGAAGCCCTTTGCCTGACACTCAAACTAGCAGGAGAAATACATGGCATTGAGAGAGAGAGAGAGAGAGAGAGAGAGAGAGAGAGAGAGAGAGAGAATAAATTGTGAAAAACATTTCCGCAGCGCAATTAGGAAACAATACAAACCGAATACATTATTCCAGGGCTAAACTCTCCAAAAGAAAATTTAAAAAGCAAAACATCCCGCCAAGCTTCTTCACAAAGTGAATCTGCAAACTTGGGGCAAGGGCTGTGGGTGGAACTCAGGGCTCCAAGCCCTGGATTCAATACCGGGTCACGGGGGGGGGGTGGGGGGGGGGGGGGGAGGCGGGGAACCACCCAGTGTAGCATACTAAGCCAGCGCTGTTGCTAACTGGGGCTGCCGGATAGGCTAAATTAAAAGGATTTCAGAATTTGTGTACACTTGTGCAACTTGACTGTTCAAACTAACTCTTTATGGCACCAAGAAGTCCTTTGTATGGAAAAGAGGAAGCGGACCACCCCTCCAGTTATCCACCAATCATGTATTCAGTGCGACTAAGAAGTCTGAGGCCCTGCTTGGCTAGTACTGGTTTCCTTCCACTAAGTTCTGACCGGAAAACGCAACCTTGGGAGGCGCTTCAAATCTCAAGCATAGCTAGCTGGATTTGACTTCTTAAAAAACAAACAAACAAAAAAACTTTCACCGGGACTTGTCAGAAAAAGAAAATTTCAAAGCACGACTAAGAAATCACAGGCAAGGAATAAACAGGAACGTGTTCCGCTTAATTCGTTCACATTCGAGGCTACACCTGACCTGTACGAGGGGGAAAATTTTGATACAAGGCTAAGTCGGACCTCGTCGGCCTACCCGCACTTGCCTGGGCGAAGAAATCTCAAGAAAACTGAGTTCTGATACACTTAAGTAATGGTAGCACTCACGTTTGGTGCTAAACCGTGCCTTCCACAGCAAACCTAAGTGGAAAGACTGCTAGACATGCAAATCAGTAATCTTTCCAAACTGGTGATCTGTGCACTTTTCCCGTGTGCACAACCGCCTGGTCCTACCACCAGAAATAGTAAGATTGATAACCCCCCTGCGGGATTTTTGACAGGATCAAAATTACTGAGTGTGAAATGCAATGAAACGTCATCCTTAAAAAAAAAACAAAGGAAGGGGTGAGAATAGAAATAAAACGGAATTGGGACACCCCCCCCAAAAAAAAAAGACAAAAATATACAAAATACTTAAATACGTAAACCAAATCAGCATTTAAAAACGCGTTAGAGCTGGCTTGGTGGCGCATACCTACTGTAATCCCAGGAACTGGGAAGGCTGGGCAAGAGGATCACAAGTTAGAGGCCAGCCTCAGCCAGCAATTTAGTGAGCCTGGTCTCCCTAGGCAACTGAGAGAGACAATGTCTCAATAAATAAATAAATAAATAAATGTTTTAAAACCACGTTGTAAAAATGAAAGGGATATGAAATTAAATGAGCAAAGCCAAGGAGTATTTATATTTCAAATTGCGCTAAATAACAAAACTTAATGAGTATTAAAGATTAAGGAATAAAATCGAGAAACCCATTCATTCTTTAGATCCATAAACTTCTGAGAGTGATTCTAAAATCGTACACGTCGTTTCTCAAAGTTGAAATGGATAAAAGTCTAAAGTTATGGGAGGGAATGTGAAATAAGACGAATACAGATGTTTGAAAGAGAAGATAACGGCAAGTAATAGGAGACCTGAAACGCTACAGAGAATGGTCAGGTGAAAGAGAATTAAAAATAAATAAATAAATGACAAGGAACAACTAAAGGCAAATCTCAGTGAGTTTTAATTTCCTACATGAAGCCGTTTTGTAATGGAGAATCTTTCCACAGAGTAAGATCTGAGGGGCTCCTTCTCTGATCTAAGGCTGCCTGGCTGCCAGAGAAGGATGGGCAGCCCCCCCACGGCGTTGAGAACACGGGGCGTATCCATGCCGGGAGGCCTGAGGAAACCAGGTGCGGGTTCCACCAGTTGGAGGAGACAGGTCTGGGGCACTTGGGGAGACACTGGACTGCACAGGTCTCAGTGTCCCGCGGCTTGTCACCGGGGGACAAGTGGGCTGGGGGGCTGCGTCCTTCCCAGTGAAATCTGCTACAGCGTGAGTGCCTCGGGCTCTCCCGCAGACTCCACCCCATCTGCCCGGGCCTCCAGTTTCTTGAGTCGCAGCTTCCCGGCTTGGTTGGTTCCCAGGAGCTCTGGACTCCCGCGGAATCCGTTTTGCAGGTGGACCCGGTGCCGCAGCCAACAGGACTGGAGAGCCTTTTCCAGTCGAAGTCGCAGTTGTCAACAGAGCACTCTCCTGGACAGGGTAGCAAGGAAGAGGCCAAGGCCCACCGCTTCTAAGCCAGCACAGGAGAGGTCGCTACTATAGTGCCACCTCCGCGGAATCCCAAGCCTGCTCCACCGGGTCCACTGCTCCACCGCGTGAGCCTCATACCAGCAGGACAGAAGCCTCTGCGCTGATGGAGAGATGAGGCAGAACCTCCGCACCACCCCGAGTATTTGCAGTCTTCCAGGCGGAGGGCGGAGACAAGCCAGAGAGGCTAAAACGCAGGGAGAGCAAACTCCAGGAACTCAGGAGGTGAAAACAATACGATAGGAATTCGGATCCTACATAAAACCGAAACAATTAAACGCTACGGGAAAACGTAGCCGAATAACAAACCGAAATAAACGGAGCTGGAGGGGAACTGAACCTGAGAAATCCAGAGCCGGCTCTGCAGGCGGCATCACTGTCGTGGTTGCACAAATCGCCTCCTGCCTGTTCATGCGGTATTGCGCCGGCGTTTGCACCCGGCCGCGGTGCGGGCTCGGGCTCTTAGTACGCAAGAGTGCCCTGTGGCTGGCACTAGTTTCCTATCGAGCCGTGGCATTTCTCCCAGCTGGGACTGCGGATCGAGCTGCCTCACCCTCTCCCCAAGCTCTTGCTTCTCTGTGACACCCGCCTAAAGGAGTAAATGCAGCCCAAAGCGGCGTTCTTTGGACAACAGCAACGCCCTTCGAAGAGCCCATTGTCTCCCGCGCTGCGGTGTCCTAGTTCCCCGGCCGCTAGGCACAGCGCCTTAGGCACTGTTTCTCCGGGCGGCAAAGCTCATTGCCAGGAGACTAGGGGCCAGGCTGCGCTCGCCGCCCCTTGTAGGTTCAGTTCCCCTTCAGCTCCGTTTGTTTCGGTTTGTTATTAAGCTACGTTTTCCTGTCGCATTTAATTGTTTCGGTTTTATGTAGGAGCCTCTACCCGTCAGAGAGCACTGTAAACCCCATAGCCAGGGCCCCAGGGTATCCCTTCCTCTGGCCACACCCCACCGTGTCCAGTTACCACTCAGTCAATCCCGTCAGGGATTCATTCACCCATTAAATCAAGGCTAATTAAGCCCAACCATTTCTCCTCGAAACTTTGCATTGTCTTCCACGTGAGCTTTTGGGGCACATCACATCAAAACCGTAATGAGGGCTCCTAGAGGACCAAGTCAGGAGGCAGAAAGATTTCCAGACTGCACATGGCCATTGTGGACTATCTACTTTCTAGTCAAGTAAGCCAATCTAATCAACCCCCTTTTTATAATCATACTTCCTGTTGATTCTGTTCCTCTAGAGAACCCCTGATTAATACACTATTCTTGTCACTGTTCCTGCTTCATTCCATAAATTCTGGTACAGTGTGTTGTCATTGTTATTTATATCAAGGTATTTTCTACTCTCCTTTGTGCTTTTCTTTTTGATCAGAAAATTGTTTGCATTGTTTTTTGCTTTCTACAAATTTGTGAATTTTCACTACCTTCTTCCTATTGGGTGTTTCAAAGACACTGACAGCTATCTTTAAAATATTTTTTAAAAAATCTCCACTATGGGCCATGAATACCATTCATAAGAAACTTGACCTAATGTACTCCAAAGAGCCCCGAATCTTTCTATTATATTGGAGAGTCATTTTTCAAGATATGAATTGGATGGAGTCAGGTATGAGGTCATAGATCCATGAGATTTTAGCACGGAGATCTGAAACTCAAAACTCATTTTCCATTTTTAAATTGCTTTTTGGAAGTATTCTTAGTCACAAGTATTCTACCACTCAGGCAGAGTTCAGGCAGGAAAAGGGTTACAACCAAATCATGTTGTGAGAATCTGGGTATTGTGCTGACTACCCTGCTAAAGCCAGAAGAAAAACATGACTTATATGCAGCAAAATGGCCTCCCAATTACAGAGACTAACAGATGATAGGTTTTTGTTGTTGTTGGTATCATTAATTGAGTTTTGTGATGGGATTTTCTTTTAGGATTAATTTGAGCACCACCCAGTTTCCCAGTCTGTTGTTTGGAACTCCCAAGAGGCCAGTGGAGTATAAAAATGCAAAAGGTGCTCCCTGTTAAGTCCCACATACTTGTGGTACCTTGTGTGAGTCCCACAGTGCCATGGAGCAGCACTTTCCCTGCTATGTGCCACTGGCCTGGAATTCTGCATACCAGACACCTGGGCCCTGGCCACTGCCCTTCTATATTCACCAAGAGGTTAGCTCTTATGACAGCCAAGACTTTGATTGCAACCTGCTTTCCACACTGCTAGGGTGTCTTCTCTGGGAACAGTCTGAACAAAGTGACTTTCCCAGTACACAGGGTACCTTGTTCCAGAACACAGAGCTTCTTGTCCTGGACAGGCCATCAACTGCCTGCTGGAGTTCCCTTTTCTTGTTTCAGGTGCACCTGTGATGAAAGTCTGGAGCCCAAAAAACCTCTGGTGGTGGGGATCCTTGTAAAAGTCCTCATCCTCCTGCCCCTGAAAGCCACCATGGGACCAGCTAAGGCTGGGAGTGGATCCAGGCCTTTCTGCACAAGACTTCCTGAGGCTGCTTGAGTCTGCAACCTTTGGGGCCCAGCAGTGCTGAGATTTCCCTTGTTTGGAGGAGCATTTTAGAACAGATCCTGTAACAGTAATGCTTGTGGGTCTACTTCTACACCATGGAAGCTTCAGAGCTATTATGCATGTTTCTTCTGTTTTTCTCAATAAAAATTGTGCTAAAATGTGAAATTCTTGGGTGTACTGTACTCCTGCTGGAGATTGGGCAAAGAGGAAGCTCAGAACACTGGGTGGTGAGAGACCATGTTCAGATCTAAGAGGGCCCATCTTTATTGCTGTTGCATTGCTTATTGGCATGGTGGGTTGGTGGCATCTTCTGGCTACAGGTTGGGTAGACAGGACACTTGTGTATTGGGTGTTCTACAAGCACTATATCTCCAAGCAGATACAGAGCAGCCTTGAAAACCCACTTGAGAAATTATATTGTGTGAAACTCTGTCATTTGTTTCCCCCAAGGCTATTTCAGGTATGCCCTGACACCTTGCAGGCGACTAACTGCCACCTCTGCCTGTCTTCCTTTCAAACCCACCTACAACTTTCTGCTTCTTGGGACTCAAGAGTCTGCCCAGGCAGTTAGGATTCAAAAGAGTCAAGAAGCTAGAGTAGAAGATCAAGTCCAGCCAGGGGAGGGCAGGCAAGCCTCCCAGTCTGAACCTCAGCTGCCACTACACACTTGACTGCACTCACTTCCAAGCCTCTCAACAGACCACAGTAGCTAGACCTCCAAACTCTGGGCCTAGGTACTCACCCATTGGCATAGATCTTCCAGAAAGCTTCACCCAGAGTATTTTGCTGCAGAAGCCTTCCAAGAAACTCTGCTAAAGCTGGCCTTCTTAGAACCTTGTTTTCCTAGGGTTTTTAAGTTTCAACTTGAAATCATACTCTGGTTTTGACAACCTTATCGGATACATCCTCAATACTTTTAGATAACAAGATACATTTCTAGTAGTTTTTGTTCTTGTTTTGACACAGGATCTAGTGCAGTTGCTGAGGCTTGTCTTGAATTTGTAATCCTTTTGCCTCAGCCTCCTAGATCACTGAGATTACAATCCTGTACTACCCTGACTCATATTACAAGATTTATCTTTACAATTCATTTAGTATTCAGGGAGGTAAAGTACTGTTTCTCAGTGATATTTTTACAAAATACCAAAATGGAGCTAAATTTTTTTTTCTCCAGTGAAATAACTAAAAACAACAACAACAACAACAACAACAAAAAAAACAATTATGTAAAGTAATTCTAATGAATATTTGGCAAACAGTTCTGCTCTGCTAAATGTGCTAAGTTCTTTAGTATATATGCTGTTGATTGAATCTTAGACTTTACCATTGAGCTTCTTCTTACCCTTTTTATTTTCTGTTTTGAGACAAGATCTGGCCATGTTGCCTAGGATGGCTCAAACATGTGTTTTTCTTCCCTCAGAGTCTTCATTTGCTGGGATTGCCTGAATAGGTCACTGCACACAGCCAATTTTCCCCATATGTGCAGAGATTCCCTGGTTTTAGAGAGGAGACTCAGTGGTGCTGGATCATAGTCTTAAGACCATAAGCTAATTCATCTTGAAGCTGGATGGAAAAGTTAAGTTTTAAAGCATTCATGGCTAAGTAGGGAAATGAGTAAGGGGAGCAGAAAAGGAGAGTCCTCTGGCTATTTAGAATTGTAATTTTTCTTTTTTTTTTTTATTGGAGATGGACACAATTCCTTTATTTTATTTATTTATTTTTATGTAGTGGTGAGGATCAAACCCAGTGCCTCACACATGCTAGTTAATGAGTGCTTTACCACTGAGCCCCAGTTCCAGCCCTTAGAATTGTAAATTTTCTAATGCATGCCTAGATTTTCTGCATCAAAGTGTATCTAAATTTCTTATCATTGTCTTATCATTGTCCTGTCTAAAGGGGAAATTAATGGAGTTAATGTCACTTTATCCATAGTCCCCCCCTCCATTCTAACCTTTTTAATGTAAATAAGAGTATTCTATCCTGTCATTCCCCTTTATCTACTCTCCTTTTTTTTTAATCGAAATTCCTCCCAGTTCTATTTTATTTAAATGTGTATTTAGCCATGTCTGATGCAGCTCAGATGTAATCTGAGTGACTCAGGAGAGTGCAGCAGGAAGATTTAAAGTTCAAGACCAGTCTCAGCAATTTAGAGACATCTTCCTTTTTCTTTCATTCTTTCATTTCTTTTTTTTTGGTTTGTTGTTTTTTTGTTTTTCTTTTTTTTTGCATGTGTTTGTGTTCATGCGTGTGTGCATTTTCTTCTTCTGGTTTAGGAAAAAATTCTTTTTCATTAAGATCATCTCAATGGGGTAGGGGGAGTTCATGTATGGGTTTCTGGCCATGAGCTCTGTAAGTGTGGCAGTATATCTTGGTTCTTTGCTCATTTGGATACATTAAATGACCAAAAAACTCACATCTAAATCCTCAAGTTCAACATTACTCTCTCCATATTTAAGGATGTCTGCCAAAATTGAGCACTTTTTTTTGGTCTATGGACCCTATGTCAGCCCCACTCTTTGTTCTAGATACACCAATCAACTCTACCATTTTAACAGTGGAATGGCACACATTTTTTGTTTGTTTGTTTTGGTTGACTGAATCCAGGGGTACTTAATACTGAGTTAATCCCCAGGTCTTTTTAAATTTTCTATTTTGAGACAGGGTCTCACTAAGTTGCACAAACCCTTACAAAGTTGCTAAGGGTGGCCTTGAACGTGGGAATCTCCTGTCTCAGGCTCTAGAGCTGCTGGGATTATAGGCATGAGCCAGTATGCAAAATCACATTGTTTCTTTAAAGTGACATCTTTCAGACACTTGGTGGCCCTTTGGATATGCATACCCTAGATGGCCTTGGCAGTTTCTTTGTGTTTTAAAGTGAACACAAAGATTTGAACCTCTTGATTTGTAAGATTTTGTGGGGTTTTGTGTATCAAGACAATGGTGAAACATTTTCACCTTGGACAAATCATAGGAAGAGGAGTGATTCATTCTTTCAGGTGATTATATTTTCACTTGATGTAAAAAGTTTCAGGGGACATATCTAATTTTATTAAGAAGGAATTTCAACATGTTTTTGTTTATTGATTAATTTTTTTTGTGGTAGCATTGGGAAGTGAACCCAGGGCTTCATGCATGCCAGGCAAGAATTCTACTAATCTGCAAATCAAAGCCCCTCTTTTCGAGTTACAAAGATCTTTTTATATACATTTCATCTGCAGCTTTGAACTGACATAGTAGCCTCTGATGTGCCTCAGCACACCCTACATCTCCATGCAGTGGACATTCATATTGCTGCTATCCCCTACTGAAGCCAGATTTAAAGATAGGTAGTTAGTGTAGTTAGGTAAATCGGGTCTAATATCGAGTAAATCGAAAATGAAGGCCATGTTGAGAATGGTGCCAGGGAAGGCAGAGCAGCACTTGGGAGACTGAAATGTTAATGTCCCCAAGACCCAGAGCCCACCCCAAAGAAATGTTAATGAAACAGCTCCCAGCAAACAGGGAGATGCTAATGAAAAGCAGCTCCAGGCCCATCTGCCCCTGACCTTTTGGGTCACCCCACCTACATTGGAGACCCAAAAGGTGAGGGGCAGATGAAATGTACAGTAGAAGGACAGGAACTCTGAAATGTACAGTAGAAGGACAGAAACTCTGACAGAAATGCGGGAAAGCTGAATGAAGACCTTAGCTATAAAAGAGGGAAGACCTCCCCACTTCCACGGATTCCACCTCTTGGGTCCACTTCTTCCTCCGGGGAGAAGTCTTGTCTGCTGTCCTTTAATAAAGCTTCTACTTTCCACTCTAAACTTGCAGTGGCATGCTTCTCTGGTGTTATATTCAGCATTGGGGAAGCAAGGACTCGTCACCGGTAAAACAGCGGTAACACTATCACCACACATAATTGTCCCTATGCACGAGTGGGAGAATTTATCTAGGGCAGGTACCTTTAAACATATCTGTTCCCTCAAAAGAGTATTTCCTGAATTTTGCTGAGCATTGCCAGAACGTTTTTTAGGGTGAATGCAGCATTTACTTTCCAACAATATTGTTGTGCATTAATGCATGCACACCTTCCCCACAAACATTTGGAGTGACCCAGTATTCTGACATTTGCTGGGGCCTTTATGGCTCTGAAGAGGTTTGCTTTGGGCTTGATGGCCTCCTGATCCAGTTTTTTCTAATTTCTTAAATTCTCTCTTTGTGAGTCTATTGCTGGGTTTTTTTTTTTTTTTTTTTTTTTTGAGAGATATTTTCTGATGTTCAGTTTGAAATATGTTTTTGCTTTTTGATCAGATTATGAGTTATCTTCATCCCTTGTGCTTAAAGTAAGTGTGTTCAGTTTCTGTTCCTAAAGGCAAAAGGAACACAACTGTGCCTTAACATCCACTTCCTGCCTTTCAGACTGTTATAATACCTTTTATTTTTAACAACTGCAAAAGAATGGACTTAGGTTTCATTCATGAAATATTCATTTTCTCCATAAAAAGTATTAAAATCTTTCTGATTTCAGGATGTTCTTATCAGGTGAGTTTAACATTTTGATTTGAGAAAAATATGGGTAAAACAAATGCCTTTCAAAGTTTTATTTTAATATTTTACAGTTTTCCTTTCATATAAGCTTTTCGATCAAGAAATAAATTGTCTAAACAGACATTTTTACATTTTCTATATATATTAATTGCATTAACACAGGGATCCAAAAACCAGAGACAGAAATTCTGCCTTCTAAGACCTCCTCTTTCTGGTGGGTATTAAACCATATCTGAGTGACATTAGTCTGAATGGGGCCAGTGTCTGGGAGAGGCTGTGCTGGGCATGGGCAGCTGTGTGAAGGCATTAGAAACTGGAGACTTCCAGGCCCTTCCTTAAGTAGATGCAGAATAAAAATTGTGCCCAAAGAGACACATTTCCCACCTAACAAACTCCTGCCATCCCACACATTCTTTCCTATACTTGGATAGATTTGTTCAGGGCCAACACCTAGGCTCCTTTGCATTGCTCTCCCTGGATACTTCCCACACTCTGCCCACCAAAGCAGACCTTCTCTAAGGCTCTGATGTCAAGTCCACAGCACAGCTCAGAATTAGAGCTCTGTCTCCCACCCCATGCGGCACTCCTCCATCCTCTCTTCTCTCTTCATTCTGTCTACTGTTGAGCAAGGGAAC